TGCATGCGTGTGCAAGGGCTGGTTACATCCCCCTCAGAAGTCTCTTCTTTTTTATTTTTATTTTTTCGAGACACAATTTCACTCTATCTCCCAGGCTGGAGTGCAGTGGTGCGATCTCAGCTCACTGCAATCTGCTCCTCCCGGATTCAAGTGATTCTCATGCCTCAGCCTCCAGAGTAGCTGGGATTACAGGCACAAGCCACCACGCCTGGCTAATTTTTGTGTTATTAATAGAGACAGGGTTTTACCATGTTGGCCAGGCTGGTCTCGAACTCCTGACCGCAAGCTATCCACCCACCTCAATCTCCCAAAGTGCTGGGGTTGCAGGTGTGAACCACCACACCCAGCCAGAAGTCTCTTCTTCGTTTCTCTTTCACTTTGGCTGTTTTTTCCCTTTGGTCCCTATGTTCTCAGGCCAGTCTGAAACCTGGCCGTGATCCCTGAGGGTAAGGAGAAAGGTTAGTTGGGAGGTCTCAGGTTTGAAATTAATAGGCATAGTATCTGTCAAGACCAGTCTTCAGCTTAAGTCCCTATAGGGGGAAAGGGAGAGGAAATGCACCTAGAGGGGAAGAAGTGCTGAGTCATGTCACTTCAAGTAGACACATGAAAAGCTGGCTAACTTCTCAGCAGCCCACTGAGTTCCGACTACGTGCTGGACATTGTGCACACTAAATTAAGCTGACAGAGTCCCTTCCCTGTGGAACCTCTTCATTCACCTACTCATTTCACAAATATTTGCTGAGCATCCTACTGTGTGCCCCACACTGCCAACGAAGCAGATATGGAGCTTAGAACCTGGTCTGTGAGACAGGCAACAATAGATGACAGATCCTTAAACAATTAAGGCATTTCAGTTAAGATATTTCAGATAGTGACAATTACTATGAAGAAAATAGAACAAGATAATGAGAAGGAAAGTGGCTAGATGCAGAGCATGCCATTTTAAAATAAGTTCTTGCTATTTGAATGGATGAATAGTAAATTCCATGTGACCTGAAAGGGGATATACTTAGGCCATTTATTGTTTCTGACTCTGCCTTCCGCAGAGTAAGACTGAACTTTCTTGCCCATAGTGAGCAATTCTGGCCAAGGAGTAGTGAGCAGAACTGACATGTCATTTCTGTCCTTCATGTTGGAATTCTAGTGAGAAACCCTCCAGAGGTCACTCTCTTTTCTGGCCTGCTGCTGAGCAGTGCTGTGTGTAGAGGCTGCCACACTGGCCTGGTCTGGATGATGCTGAGATTGAGCATGATCTCAGGTTGACCTGTGATGAACATGCAGCTGAAAAAAGAAATTAATCTTTGTTGCTTTAAACCACTAAAATTTGGAAAGACATGTTAGTGCAGTGTAACAGCGTCACTTCTGACTAATACTGATACAACCTGCAAGGCAAAATAAGTTTGAACTGTCACTCTGGATCCACTGGTAGGAGTTTTCTTGGCCCTGAATGGGAAACAACTCTGAGGTTCCAACTGGGCCCTGTAGGAAATTGGGCTGTAATGAATTGGTGTTGACCACCATGCCTGTAGGTGGTAGGTGGCAGCTCTGGTACCACATGCCTGTCTTCCTGCTTTCACTTTCATAGGAGGTTCTCAACTGGATCTTTTTCTAGTCTGTTCTGAGCATCTATCCTCACAAATGATTCTCATCAGCTGCACTGCTTTATGGGGTCTTCACTCATCTCTTTCTAGGGCAGATTCTTCTGTTTGGGTTTTAAGGGTCTCAAAATTCTGACCCTAACACACCCTTCCTCAGGGGACTTCTTGCTGGCCACTGAGCATGCAGTACCCCTTCCCTGCTCTAGGCCTTGATCACTGAATGCTATCCTCTCACCCCACCCCCTGCACACCTACCTGTCCTGTGGGTATCCTTTAAATCTGGCTCTCAGAGGACTTTCCTTTGCAGCCACAAAGGACCCTGCTCTCCTGAACCCAGACCACACAGTGCCCACACTCAATTAATCTTTGACAATCTTGTTTTATCTTACACTTCATTGCTGCATGGTTATCTAACAATCCTCATGTTGAAGTCTCAACTCCCTAACTAGGTTATACACTCAAGGAATGGCCTGGGTTTTGCAATTTCTCATCACAATGTCTTGGTGATAACAGGCACTTGAGAAAGAAGTTTTTGAAGAGTTGATTGGATTGGCTGTGTGGGGCTAGAGAATAGAAGGGGAAAACTGACATGGAGTTGTCTAATGGTCATTGTCCAGATCATTCTTCCTGTCCTGTCTCCCAGGCCCGTCCTTCCTTCCATGGCTGGCACAGTCCCCATGTGATGTCCCCTTCCTGAAATGGTTAGACTTCTAATCAAAAGGTCTGGAGCAGCTCAGTACAAGCCATTGCAGTGGAAAACTCAGAAAAGAAACACACAGGGTATCTTAGCAGGATGAGACTAGGCAGCGATTCGACTTTAGGGGAAAGGGGAGGCTTCCCAGGGGAACGGATGTTTAGGCTCTTCCCAGAAGGAGGTGTGGGGATTAACCCAACAGAGGGGCCAGAGGAATGCTCTGTGGAGATCCCAACCTAGGCCTGGGCTGGAGAACTGGAGTTAGGGGCGAGCTGGAGCAACCTGTGACCAGCGACCAGGGATGGGGCTGGAAGAGTGATGTGGGACCTCCCTGCTTGCAGGAAGGAACTCGACCTTATCCTTAGCCCTGAGGGATGCCCCAGAGGGGTTTTAAGGATGAAAGAGACTGATCTTGCTGTCTTCATGCCCTTATTTCATTTCATTTACTGCCTTTCCTCTCCTGACTCTGCTCTTATTTTTCTATTCTTGGACTAACATACTTTGTGTTTTTTTTGGTTATCTTATTTGAAAATCAATATAACCACATCTATAAAAACACTTTTAAAGAATGCCCAAACCCCAGAACCATCATCTCACCCAATTACAACTCTTGCCTTCGTGTCTGCTTGGCCTCTTGCCCCCTCTTCCTGCTGTGCGTGCATACATTTTATAGAGATGTGTCCTCAGTGGACGTGGGATTTTTTTTTTTCTCTTTTGCAGTTTTTTACACAAACGTTTTCTTTTGTTGTTCCTGTTTTTCCTTCTTTCCCAGGAGGCTTTAGGTTCCCACTCTCCTCTCCCTGACTTTCTCACTGTCCCATCCACTGCTCCACCCCTCAGGCCTGCCTATGTGAAAGAGGTCTCTTTCTATGCAGAAAATCCACCTTAGCAAGATGTGGGTGCCCTTACACAGACCTCATAAGAGGAAAATAGCACATCAGTGAACTTGGGGTCCCTGAGAGTCACAGTGATGTTCACCAGAACCAGACAATGGTAATGTACCTCCCCCACCAGGTTGCCAAAAATTAGAATAGGTTTTGTGTTTTTGTTGTTGTTGTTGTTTTGAGACGGAGTCTTGCTCTGTCACTAGGCTGGAGTGCAGTGGCATGATTTCTCGGCTCACTGAAACCTCCACCTCCTGGGTTCCAGCAATTCTCCTGCCTCAGCCTCCTAAGTAGCTGGGATTACAGTTGTACACCATCATGCCTAGCTAATTTTTGTATTTTTAGTAGAGACGGGGTTTCACCATGTTGGCCAGGATGGTCTTGATCTCCTGACCTCATGATTCGCCCATCTTGGCATCTCAAAGCGTTAGGATTACAGGAGTGAGCCACCGCGCCTAGCTGGTTTTGGGGTTTATTTTAAGAATGTGTCAGAGCCTGGCATATGCCTCCATTGCCAGTGGCAGCATAATTTGTTCTTTTGGAGTAACAATTTGTCAAGAGGCATCAAAGCCTTCCTTTGACCTTCTAACCCTATTTGGGAAGTTTATTTAGAAGAAAGTGTCCAGAAAACGAGAAAGCTGTGTGCCAAAGGGGGTTCTTGCAGCCTATTGCACTTAAGGGCAAAATTAGAAACAAAGCGGACTCCAGGGACACACGGTCCTTCTGTTTCACGGAATCTTTCCCAGACATCTGAAGGGTCCTGGTGGAGAAGAGGTAGCACCTTAAGGAGAGCAGTGCCAACCTGTGATGTGATAATTACATAAGGCATTGCGTCCTTCCTGAGATTACAGAAAGCCTGTCTAGGGAGAGGCTAGCTGTTCACTGGAATAATGAAGATTTTCCCTGCTTGGAATAATAAGAGCATGACAGCTTCTTTTTTCTCTTCTTTCTTCTCATCTCTTCTCTTTTTCATAACTTGTCTTATTCAGTTAAACTCCAGTCATTTCCATAGAATAAAGTAAAAGGGAATATATATATTGAATGTGTAAGGCCCATATTCCCCCAGGAATGACATCACGGAAGGACAGCCTGACCCCCGCTGCTGTATCAGGCATGAGCACAGCGCAGACCGCTGCACACAGAGGTCAGGACAGGAGGTGCTCCTGGGTGTCATGATCTTGCTTTTTGTCCCTCATTGTCATGTTTCATTTCAACTGCACCATAATCACGCTGGGTGGGTAATGTAATAATCCCCATTTTATAGAGCAGAGAGCTGAGTCCTTAGGGCTCCTCGCGGTTGCCATCCAGGAAGCCCCTGCTACGTTCCAAGCTCAGAAGCTCCCCACACTATCTCCTTGGATGCTCACATAATAGCTCTGCAGAGTCACTCCTCAAACCTGCTCTTCGTGATGGGGAAACTGAGGCGCTGTGATTTGCCAAAGAGTCGTAGCCAGGAAGGATCAAGGCAGCATTCATACCTGGGTTCTCTGACTCTAAATCTGGCTGTGTTTTTTTCTTTTGAATTTTATTATAAATGCCTTCTTTGTTCATTGTCATTATCATCATCATGGATCTCTACCAGGCCCTTTACCCCCGGCCACTTGCCTCCTCTGTTACAAGAGGAAATGAGGAGACCAGTGTGGAATTTTTATTCCCATTCCCTTCCCTCCTCCATAGGCAGCCACTCCGGTGTGCTTGCTACAGGCCCTGCGTGAGGATCCTCCCTGTCTTGTTCTGATTGGGTATCTGTTTTTAATGTAGACAAATGGGATTCTGCTGTAGACCTCAATCTGGTTTTTTTGCTTACTCAACCCTCTTTTTCAGAGCCAGTCCTGGTGCTCTGTGTTCACCTGGTTCATCTGAGGGACTGCATCTACCCTGCCCTTGCCATAGTTCCTGCCCTGTTTGCTTCTCCTGTTGCTGCTAGTGGACATTAGGTAACCACAGCCTAGTTCTGTGATGAGCTCTTCACACCTGTGCCCATATGGACTGTGGGAGAGTTTCTCTGATATGGACCGTGATGCGGGTGAGTCATAGTGCACACTCACACTTAATTTCGCAAGTACTGCCAGATTGTGTTCCAGAATGACTGTACTAATTTACACTTCCACAGGCAGTGCTCAGGGGTTTCTGTTTCCCTCTCTCCTCGCCAGCACCTGGTATTGGCAGATGCATCAAAAAGGACGCATTTGACAGCTCAACCGCATCAGCGCACTTGATTAGCATCCCTGTGATGGCCCTTTCTGCTGCAGACATCACTTTGTCATAACAGCATTTTGAGCAGGCAAAAGCATCAGGCAGGGAAAAAGGGGCCTTTTTACTGTGACTCCCTGTCTTCTATCAGGGAAGAAAATTTTCCCCAGAAATCCCCAGTAGACTTCCCCTATGTCTCACTGACCAAACTGGGCCAGGTAAGCTCCCAGACAGTCCCTGACAGAGATAACAAGATTGTCATGGCTGTTTCAAGCCAGGGCCAGTTCTTCCCCCTGCCATAGCCTTCTTTTGAGCACATTGCCATCGGCCTTATCCCCAAACAGAACTGGGAATATTTTAACAAAGAAGAAGAGAGCAGTGGCTGATCAGTAACTTGGCAGCCAACAGAGTCTTCTATATCAGAGTTCTACATTTGCCAATTTTTTGCATGCACGCTGCCTCTTCTATACCGGGGATCTTCCCCCACATCTGTTGGATTTGCAGAGAATTTCAGAAGCAGTGAGTCACTCATACATGTCCATTGCTTTGGGGATTAGATCCGGCCAGCTCGTTTTGGAAACGGCAATTCTTTTTGCCAGGCAGACATGAGACCCATTTCCGCGCCAGCTGCTCCAGCTGAGGTTCCCATGCAGGTTCTGCGTGAGAGAAATCAATAGAAAGATTCAAAGAGCAGAGCACCAAAGTCCCTGCCCTGCACCATGATGTCAAAGCAGAATGCCTGCTGAGGACAGGTGGGGATGAAAACCTGTCAGAGAGAACCACTTCTGCAAGCAGCAACTTCCCCTTCTTATCAGCCACATGGATGCCATAGTAACCTTGTCTTTCTGGCTAGCTCAAGAAATTAATTTTTGGGATGGGTGCAACAGGTCATGCCTGTAATCCAGAAATTTTGGAGGCTGAAGCGGGAGGATCACTTGAGGCCAGAAGATTAATACCACCCTGGGCAACTAAGGCAACTCCCGTCTCTATAAAAGTCAAAATAATAATAATAATTAAAAAAACAGGTTTGGTGGCATATGCCTGTGGTCCCAGCTAGTTAGGAGGCTGAGGTGGGAAGATCGCTTGAGCCCAGGAGGTCAAGGCTATAGTGAGCTATGATCATGCCATTGCTCTCCAGCCTGAGAGACAGATTTGAGACTCTGTCTAAAAAAATAAATAAATAAATAAATAAATGCAAAAGAAATGGAAACCTTGTAGTTATAATTTGTTGAGCACTTATCTTTGCCAGGTGGCCTGGGAAGCGTTTTATTTCCACAATCTCATAGATATCTCTTGGCAGCCCTCTGAGAGCACTGATGGTGCTCCATCACAGGCTCCTGTAGAATCCTGGTTCTGATGATTAGCAGCCATGTGGCCTTGGGAAAGTCACTTGATTTTTTGTAGCTTGGCTTTCTCATTTCTACATGAAGAATGATAATAGTGTATTGCACCTGCTCACATAGTTAATACACATAAAGTGCCTAGAATGGCACTTGATACTTATTAGCTATTATTGTTGCCATTTTTTAAAATGAAGAAACTGAGAGGTTCAGAGGGGTCAATTTACCAAAAGTTAGTTATAAGTAGCAGGGCCATGATTTGAATCCAAAAGTTTCTGGCTCTGAAGCTGGGCTTTTATCCAAGGGAACATCACCGTTACTCCCCTCATCAGTAGAATCAATTTTCAGGTGAAGACTCAGTGACAAAGACCACAAAGACATAGTGTAATTATTCTAACACGTGACTGGATCATTTCTGGAAGGTGGCTGGGGACATGGATACTGGGCCGTAGAACAGGCGTGCATGGGATGGAAAACACAGCGCTCAACTCCTAATTTGGCCACTCAACCTTGCAGAGCCTCCACCTCCCTGTTTTTAAAATCAAGTTTTCATTATAGTTCCTCCCAGTAAGGATTTTAAAAGTGCCTTATAAGCTGAGCATTGCCAGGGCTCCTTATTCCAAAATTAGGATTTTATATGTCACTTTATATTTTCTGTCTCATTCTCAATTTCCACTTACACTGACAGAAAGTCTAAGAGTCATTTCCCCCCAACTCCATTTTAGTCACCGCGAGGCTCAGGAAACTAGAATTTCAGAATCTTCTGGAAGAGATGTTTCCTTTCTTAACCAAGCGAAAAGGGCTGGAGGCAGGCACCGCTGGGGTTTTTAGAAGGTTGGTTAACCACAGTGCCTAGCGGTTTGGGGAAAAATAAATCAGGTAGCTTTCTGTAGCATGAGATATTCCCTTACCACATTTGTCCACTTGAGCACTTTTATTTTATTTTTATTTTTATTATTTTTATTTTTTTGACAGAATCTCACTGTTGCCCAGGTTGGAGTACAGTGGTGCAATCTCGACTCACTGAAACCTCCACCTCTTGGGTTCCAGCAATTCTTCTGCCTCAGCCTCCTAAGTAGCTGGGATTACAGTTGTACACCATCATGCCTAGCTAATTTTTGTATTTTTAGTAGAGATGGGGTTTCAGCATGTTGACCAGGCTGGTCTCGAATTCCTGACCTCAAGTGATCCACCCACCTCGGCCTCCCAAAGTGCTGGATTACAGGTGTGAACCACCGCACCTGGCCCACCTGAGCATTTTTAGATGTAGACCTAGTGATGAGTCTGAGGGGCCACATGTTCAGTCTGAATGGGGATTGCAAGCTCAATGATGTGGCTTTAAGCAAAAAGGGTAGCTTCAAGGTCTAGATTTCCTTGAAAGGACGTTTTAACCTAAATCCACATAACTAGTAACTCGGAGATCTTTTAATTTTGTTGTTTTTTAATTTAATTGACCCCATTCTCCCTCCTTTTCTCCCTCCATCCCTTCATTCCTCCCTCCTTTCCTTTTGACACAGGTCACCTGATATAGAATCTCCCACCTGGGAGATGGAGCCAGCCAGTGAGGCTCAAATTTGAACCACACACAAATCTCCAGGGGTACTTGTTAAATGCAGATTTTTGACCAATTTTTCGGTGTGGGTCTACTCTAGTAATGAGCTCTCAGGCAGTACTGATGCCGCTGGTCCACGCATCAACCCATTTTAACTCGTGAGGAAGGGTCTAGTACCCTCCCTAGTCCTTCTCATGCGCCATCCCATTTCAACTGGTGAGGAAGGGTCTGGTCCCCTCCCTAGCCCTCCTCACACAGGCATTCGCAGAAACTGTCTAGAATACCAGATTGTTTGTGCACACATTTGACCTTCCTGACCATCCTGGGGGGTGTGAGAATACCAATTTTTTTTTCTTTTTCTTTTTAAGATGAGAAAACTGCTACTCAGAGATGCTGAACATAACGTGGCACAGCTGATAAGTAGCAAAGATGAAAGTCCAGGTGCAGAGAAGTTCCGAGAATGTGGCCCTCCTGGGATGGAAGGTGTCCTTGTGCTAGTCATGAGCGAGACAGAAAGCAGGTGCCATTTTCTCTTCTCTTCCCCTGTTTATCTCTGAGATCTTCACTTGGCTGCTTCTTTTCAGAAAACAGTGACGCACCGGACTCAGGTGATAGCCCCAGCAGTAACATCGATGCAGAGAAAATAGAATACTTTTCCAAGAGACCAGAAGACACATGAAGCTAGAAAAAGGAGCCCAGAAAACTGCCACATTGTACCCATATAGAAAAGCATATCCTGGCCAGGCGCAGTGGCTCACACCTGTAATCCCAGCACTTTGGGAGGCCAAAGTGGGCGGATCACAAGGTCAGGAATTCGAGACCAGCCTGGCCAATCTGGTGAAACCCCGTCTCTACTAAAAATAAAAAAATTAAAAAAAGAATTAGCTGGATGTGGTGGTGGCATGCCTGTAATCCCAGCTACTCAGGAGGCTGAGAGAGGAGAATTGCTTGAACCCAGAAGGCGGAGGGTGCAGTGAGCCGAGATCGTGCCACGGTACTCCAGCCTGGGTGATAGAGCGAGACTGTCTCCAAAAAAAAAAAAAAGCCTATCCCCCTCTTCCTTTCCTACTCATTTCTCCCATAACACATAATGCTTTTTCTAGTGATTTGGTCACTGCTTAACTATCTTCACTTAATGTGGTTTTGACAGAATAGTTGGTTGGGAAATTTTATTTTCAATTAAAATAACTTGTTGAACTGCCTTGATTTTGAAAGGATTCCATTAGGATGGCTAATTATATAGCAGTTGCTACATGGAGATATTTGCACTCAATTTCAGCTCTTAGGTAATTCAAATCAAATGCTTGAGATTTTCCTCGCTGGAGCTGTGTGCAACCATCTTCCTCTCACACTGCAGGCTTCCCATGAGTTATTTTTAGAAACCCAAATTTAAGCAGCAATTTTGGCAGAGCCATTTCTAGTCTAGTGGAGTAAACCATATGCACTGATAAATGCAGCCAAAGAGTCAGTTTCTTTAAAAAGCAACAAAACCATCTCTCTCCGTTCATGGGGGTTAAATGTTTACAAACTGCAAACTATCCACTGTACTATTATATTCATTTGTGAACTCCAGCTGAAATGAGGGATCATGGATATTACTTTAAAATTACAAAAGATGTGTCCTTCTGCAAACTGTTGTCATAATACTCATTTTTTTCCAAGATGGCAGGTCTTGGCAGAATTGACTGGGGACTCTGTTTTTGGCCTTTGAATTTCCTGTGAAACATGGAGATCCCTTTCTTTATTTTCCTACTCTGCTCTGACTTCTTCATTCACCAGAGCACTTGTAATACATCTCATCATGCTTATAAGCAGGAAACCTCCTCCTTCTATGTTAGAACATATTCTTGTGG